TAAAATTATCTCTATATTCATATCTATTATTTTCATTTCTCCCTATTAATTGAATCAACTCTTTTTCTAGCTTTTCGTTTCTCAACTCATCAAATTCTTTATCTTCCCAAGAGCTATCTTTTAATTTTGGTATATGATATACATCATCATCCTCACTATCAACATCCATGGCTACAAAATTATGATTAGATTTATTAATTTAGTCTCTTACATCTCCCAAATCAACTGATTTTTCATCACCTGAAATATATTTTTCTTTATTTCTATCCTTACTCCCTTCTACTAAAATTTAGATGATTTTTTCATGATCAACTACTATTTCTTCATCTAAGGGCTCTTTCTCCTCATCATCCTCACTATATTCATTCATCAATTGTGAGTAATAAATGATTTTATTCAAATTTTCTGCTACTATATTTTCAGCCTTAATATTCTCATTTGCTTCTAATGGATCATCAATTTCTTTTAATAGTTGGAAATAAAGATCAGGTAAAATATTCTCACTCAATGTATTTACTGTCCTAACATTTTCATTTAGTAGATTTTTTTCCTAAATTCATACTACTAGACTCCACTTGCTGAAATCTTATTGTTGGGCAGTTCTCTAGATTTTCTATGGGTTGACTAAGTAGTTATCCCTCTTCCCTATTATTCTCAAGAGCCTCTATAATTTGTTTTTGGTGCAACATCATTTGATTCATAATTTGTTGCATCATTTGGCTCATAGTTTGTTGCATCATTTGGCTCATTTGCTACATCATTTCTATAGTATCAAACTGGGTTTGAGAGAGCTGATTTTTCTAAAATCTATTTTCTTATTTTGCATGAAATTCAGAGTTTTAATTGGATCTAAGTGCTTCTTGATTTTGAATATTATTTGAGTTTCTCTACGAAAATTATTCCTCCAATTAGGATTATAAGAATTTGAAAAAGATTCCCTATTTCTATTAAAACTGTGAGCTACTTGTACTTGTTCTTGCATAGGATGAAATGATTGATCTAAATTGTAACATTAAAATTTAAAATAATTATTTTCACCATACATAGGACATGTACTATTTGAATTAAGTTGAGAGTTAAAAGGCTTTCTAATATTATCAATAAGTAAATAATTTTTTTATAATCTTTGATTAATTTGATTAACCTCAATTCTAAGTTTAGAATCATCATCATGATACAATTCATAAATTTCTCTCTTTATATCCCTATCATATAATTCAAAAGAGGCTTGATCTCTAGAATTTTCACTTCAATTTTTATAAAGATTGTAAATTTCATCAAGAGTTTTCTCCATAAAAGCTCTTCCACATATAGAATCAACCATATTTCTATGTTGTTCTAATAATTCATCATAAAAAATTCTATTGAACTGTCACTTGGGTATAGCATTATGAGGACACTTTCTAAGTAAATCTTTGAATTTTTCTCATGTCTCATGTAAAGTTTTTCCTAGTCTTTGAGAAAAACTCTATATATATTTTCTCATATTTTGAGTTTTTTCTAAGAGATAAAATTTACAAAGAAAGGCATGTTCTATGTCTTTCCAGCTAGTTAATTCTCTATTTAATGTGGATAGCCAATGGTTAGCTTTGTCCCTAAGTGTATGAGGAAATAATTTTATCTTAATAATTTCCAATATAACTTGAAGGAGATTAACTAAATCGTAGATCATATGAAATTTTTCTAAGTGCTGATGAGGTTCCTCTAAAGGCAATTCATGAAAATTAAGGAGCATTAGAAAAATTCTTGAATTTATTTCGAATTTAACATTGGGTGCTAATGGGACTCTAATGTTGGATGCTCTTTGAAATGAATCAGGGATATAATGATTTTTCATGGCCATAGGATTGTTCTCAATTTGACTTGTACTTCTTTTAGGATCCATCAAAATTATTTTTTCTTTCGGATTTTTATTTTTGAAGAAATAATGAAAGGATCTTCTACCATGCATAAAAGTCAATAAATTCGAGGGGAAAATTTAGTAATTATTACCCTCCTTCAGTATGCTCCAGTCCTTGTCTTGCTTCTTTTCCTTCCCTTTTTTTAAAACAAAAAATCAGCAAAAAGAAAATAAAACAAGAGTTAAACTTTTTTGTGTACTCTAAGAGAAAAATAAAAAAATACTAAATATTATGCAACACATCTTTGATAATGGGGCCAAAATTTGACATGACTCAATCGTTGTATATTAAATCACACAAATCTAAAATTTATGAAACTAGAAAATATAATTTTTCAGATATTTAGAAGTATTTCTAAACAAATATATCAATTATAATTCAATAAAACTTCCAAAAAATAGCAATAATTTTTCAGTCAATCACAGAGATGTAATATAATATCTGAAATAGCAATAGAATTTTTCTCAATGAATATGATTTTCTATGAATTTTATAGTAGAAAATAAAAAGGAAATATATTTAAATTTCACGAAAAAGGGAAATAAGGGTGTGGATGTTGGGATGATGTCAGCACCCGACGAATGTGTATCGGGCAGAAACAGAGTTCCACCTAGTGATTCTTACGTAAGCAATTACATATGATTTAATTAATCAAATTAAGATCTGTAAAAGCCAGAAGAATTGTAATTGAATAAAGTATATTTTGGTAAATTAAAAAGAAAAAAAATTATCACTAAATAAAGCATAAAATAATTTGAAAGTAGGAAAATAGAGTTCCAGCATCGCAACGGCGATGCGTCGGTGATGCACTAGAATCTTGAGTATTTGGGAGGATCATCGTGTAGTGTCCATGACCTTGAAGGCTCTTTTTGGACAAGGACGATGTGGGCAATTTCTAGATCTCCTTGCAAAATCTAGAGATTAATGAAGTGGGTCGTCGAATCGTCTCTAGCGGCTGTCACCCAGCAAAGCGAAAAAATGGCAACTTTGTGATTCTCTAACGGCTGTCACTCGATAGAGAAGAGCTGGATGGAGGTGGGGCGTGTGTCAAGGAGCTTCATCCTTAGGTCCACGCAACAAGAGGAGGCTCTTCATTGCATCTAGTATGCTCTTAGGAGGTTGCGATTCGTCTCTTGGCAGATTGTTCTCTTCTCAACAACGACTTGTTCGTCGATCAATCGGAGACGATTTACTCAATGGATTCGTGATCCTTTTATTGCAAATCCTCTAGGAATTTTAGTAACAATGCTTTGCGAATTGCGTTGATGAGATTTTCGTTAATGATCCAATGATTCTCATTGCTTAATCCTTTACTAGCGATCTACAAGAAAGTCGTAATAATCAGATAAAAATATATGACTTTTGGCTCTGAGAGGATTCAAACCTGCGTCAGTTGCCCGCCCCTCCTTATGGGGAAGGTGTAACGCGGGTTTAGTCCTACATCGATTGTGCGACGAATTTTTAGGCAAATATATAGTAATGTTTCTTGCTCAAAGCAGTTCTCTTCTCTTGCATGTATGACCCACTCCTTGTCCCATAGTCGGCTGGCCACCAGTGACGTGCAAGGGGAGTGGTGCTCACATGCCCCTATCGGTCTATGCCGCTCGAGCCCTTGCTCGCAGCTACTCTCCGACTAAGCTTCTGACCTACTTGCGGGTCTGGCTAGCTGGCGGGTCCCCCTCATTTTGTCTTATTTTTATTTTTTATTTCATTTTATTTATTTATCTCAAAAGTAAGATTATAAAAATCATATAAATTTGTGTAAAATCACATAATTATCTAAAAATTCACATTAATCAACTAAAAACCACTTTCCACACTTTAACACAAATATAAGTCTATTTATCATGAGTTAAGGCTAGAACTATATTAATTACTAATTGTTAACTCATGATAATGAAGACTTATCAGCAACCAACGTGGGTTCAAATCCTTCTAGAGTCAAAACTCATATTTTTATTTAATTATCACAACTTTCCTACAGATTGTTAGTGAAGGATTCAGCCACTAGAATTGTTAGATCATCAATGAAAATCTCATCAACGCGATTTGTGAAGTACTATTACTAAAATTACTAAATGATTCACAATAAAAAAATCACGAATCTATTAAGTAAATGATCTCCAATTGATCAATGAAAAAACTATCATCGGAAAGAGGATGATCCACCAAGAAATGAGTCACTACCTCCTAAAAGCATACTAGATGCAATGAAAAGCTTTTTCTCGCTGCACGAACCTAAGGATGAAGCTCCCTAACACGCATCCTACCTCCATCTAGCTTCTTATTGTCGGGTGACAGCCACCGAAGGACCGCAAAGTCACCGTTTTTTTACTCCATCAAGTGATAGCCACCGAAGATGATTTGATGACCCATTTCATTCATCTCTAGACTTCGCAAGGAGATCTAGAGATTATTCATGTTGTCCTTGTCTAAGGAGAACTTTTGAGGCCACAGACACTACACGATCATCCTCTTGAACACTTAGGATTTCAATGCATCATCGATGCATCACTATCACGACATTGAAACTCTATTTTCTTACTTTCAACTTAACTTCTGCTTCATTTAGTGACAACTCGTGTGATTTAAATTTATGAAGCTATATTTCATTCAATTATGATTCTTTTAGATTTTATAGATCTTAATTTGATCCATTAAATTATTTATAAATACTTATGTAAGAATTGTCAGATAGAACTTTATTTCCACCTGATTCACATTTGTCAGTTGCTGATGCCATCTTGATGTCTGCACCCTTATTTTCCTTTTTGTGAATTGTAAATATATTAATTTTTCATTTTGTAGTATAAAATTCATCAAAAAAATATATTATTTAAGAAAAAAATTAAAAACTTACTAGTATTATATTATATCCCTATGATCAACTTAGAAAATTACTACTAGTTTTAAAAGTTTTATCTGATTATAGTTTATATATTTACTAAAAAATACTTTAAAATATCTAAAAATTAGTATTTTTTAGTTTTATAAATTTTAAATTTATGTGATTTACTATACAACGACCAAGTCATATCACCTACAACCACTATCCCATCTCTTAGATTATCTCTTATCACTGTCTTTCTCCCTCTTTTCATGCCTTTGTCTTTTTTGTGGCCTCTAAGTCACTTCCATAATCATATGTTGAGGCCACATAGGTACCTACGTGGAAAGCAGCCATAGGTTTGGAGGTAGCTACATTGGTCACTCAAGAAACTTGGGATTTCATTTCACGCCCAATAATATCAACATTGTGACATGCATGTGGGTGTTTACCACCAAATATCATCCGGATGGCTCCATCACTCATCACAAAGCTCGTCTAGTTGCTCGAGGCTTCACGCAAGCATATGAGATTGACTATACTAAGATGTTCTCTCCTATCGTTTGTCTCAACTCCATCCACGTGCTCCTCTCTCTCATCGTCGGTCAGACATTCTCTCCATTAGTTAGATGTTTCTAATACTTTTCTCTATAGTGATCTTATGGAGTAGGTCTTTATAGAACAATCTTCTAGGTATGTTATTTAGGAGGAGTCATCAAAGGTATGTCTCTTGCAATGTACCATTTATGAGTTCAAGCACAATCCACATGCTTAGTTTGTCAAATTTAATAGTTTACTCACCACCTTCGGTTTTGCCTCCTACACTCTAAATCTCATTGTACTCAAGAAGAAGACAGAAGATAGTCTTATCATTCTTGCAATATATGTCGACAACATTCTTGTGGCCAATAGTGATGAGGCCCACATCTTTGTTACTAAAGATTACACGTAGTAACTTCTTAGTACTATGACTTGGGGACTCTACAGTATTTCTTTGAGATTGAGTTTGCATATCAAGATGAGAAGTGACATGACTTAGTCATTGTATAGTAAAACACATAAATTTAAAAATTTTATAAAATTAAAAAATATGAATTTTAGATATTTAGAAGTATTTTTAAAAAAATATATTAATTATAATTCAATAAAACATCTAAAAATAGTGGTAATTTTCTAAGTTGATCATAGAGATGTAATATAATATTAAGTAATTATTTAGATTTTTTTTCAAAGAATACTATTTTTTATAAATTTTATATTAAAAAATGAAAATAAAATATATCTAAAATTCAAAAAAAAAGAAAATAAGGGTGCAGATGTCAAGATGACGTCAACTTAAAAAAATCAAAGAATACAAATTGAGCAGAACCCTGGTTTTGCTCAATGGTTCTCACATAAACAATTACAAATGATTTAATTGATCAAATTAAGATCTGTAAAAGTTGTAAAAATCGTAATTGAATGAAGTATATCTTGATAAATTTAAATCATATAAATTATCACTAAATAAAGTGAAAATTAAGTTGAAAGTAATAAAATAGAGTTCCGACGTCGCACTAACAATACTTTAACGATGCCCCAAAATCTTGAGCGTTTAGGAGGATTATTGTGTAGTGTCCATGGCCTCAAAGGCTCTCCTTGAATAAGAATGATATGGACAATCTATAGATCTCCTTGAAAAGCCTAAAAATCAATGAAACTGGTCATCGAATCATCTCTGGTGACTGTCACCCAATGAAGTAGAAAAATAACAATTTATGGCTCTCTAATGGCTGTCACTCAATGGAGAAGAGTTAGATGGAGGTGGAATGTGTTAGGGAGCTTCATCTTTAGGTCAACACAACAAGAGGAGGCTCTTCATCGCATCTAGTATGCTCTCAAGAAGTGGCGACTCGTTTCCTAGTGGATTATCCTCTTCCCAATGATGACTTATTTGTCAATCAATTAGAGATGTTTTACTCAATAGATTCGTGATCTTTTTATCGTGAATCGTTCAGTAATTTTAGTAAGAATGCTCCGCGAATCACATTGACGAGATTTTCGCCGACGATCTAGCAATTTTGGCAGCTTAATCCTTCACTAGCGATCTACAAAAAAGTCACGATAATTAGATAAAAAATATGAGTTTTGGTTTTGGGAGGATTTGAACCTTCATTGATTGCCCACTTGTATGAGAAAGATTGAAATAAGTACTCCAATGCCTTTATCAAATGACGTCATCATGGTATATCTCTATTATAAATAAGGGATATTGTAGGGGTTAAAATCATCGAAGCCTTTCTAGGAAAGGTGTGACACGGGTTTAGCCCCACATCACTTGTGTGCCGAAGTTTCAGGTGAATATATAGTAATATTACATTTGCAATCAAGTCCCTTTCTCTCACGTGTATGACTACTCTTTGCTAGACAGCCGACTGGCCACTAGTGACGTGGAAAGAGAGTAACGCACATGTGTCTCTATCGGTCCTAGCCGCTTGAGCCCCTTACTTGTGGCTCCTCCCCAACTACACTTCTGACTCATTTGCGGGCTCAATTGGTCAACGGGTACCCCCCATTTTGCTATATTTTTATTTTTATTTATTTTTCTTTATTTATCTCAAAAATAAGACTGTAAAAATCTTATAAATTTGTATAAAATCACATAATTAGCCAAAAAATCACGTTAATCAATTGAAAATCACTTTTCACACTTTAACACAAATATAAGTCTATTTATCATGAGTTAAAACTAGAACTATATTATTTACTAATTATTAACTCATGATAATGAAGACTTATCAAGAAGCTCATCCTCACTCAGTAGAAATAGGTCATTGACATGCTTCGGGAGATAGGCCTCCTTAGTACAAGTTGGAGATTTTGCCCATAGAAGTTTGCCCATAATTTTAGGACACTTTATCTTCTTTACACGAGGATGCTAACTAGTATCAACGATTGTTAAGCAAGTTGATATATCTTACCATCACTCATCATGAAATCATGTGCACAATTAGTGTCTTGAGTTTGTTCATATAGGAGCCTCAACAAGTTTATTGGGAGGGAGCTCTACGAGTCCTCACTTACATCAAGCAATCCTTAGAGAAAGGGCTCATCTATCGGTGACACAGACATCTCTATAGTGCAGCTTACTCTAATGTCAAGTATGCATGTGACAAGAGTGACTAAAAGTCTACTATAGATTATTGCACATACATCAGTAGTAACTTAGTCACTTGGCGATCCTAGAAACAAAGGGTGGTGTCTTGCTCTAGTGCAGAATTTAAGTATGGAGCCATGATTGAGATAGTAGGAAAAATAGTATGACTTTAATCACTTCTCAATGATTTCGACATTACTTCTCCCTCTCTAATGTTCATACATTGCGACAAATTAAGTTGGTATCTTCATTTCTGGCAATCCTATCTTTTATGAGTGTACAAAATAGATTAAGATCAACTATCACTACATTCGAGATAAGGTTATGTCTAGACTTGTCTCTATTCTTCATGTGGTATTATCTCATTAGCTTGCAAACATCTTCATGAAGAGTCTAGTCGACATCCTTTACAATGTCATGTGTACGAAGTTGGACATATTTGACTTATATGCTCTAACTTAAGAGCGAGTATTCGATAGTGGTATTGGACTCTCGGCCCACTAAGGCCCATTATCTCTCTCTCATCTCTCCTCTCTCCTATATAAGAGACATGTATTTTATCTTGATGCTATATAGATTCTAAGGTTTTTCCCTCTCATGTCAACACTTACAACACATGTATTTGAGTAACATTAATTATAGCTATATGATCAAGCTAAGTAGTCAAAATATTGGGAAACTAGATTTTTGTGAACATTGTGTATTTGTGAAACAAGAATTAGGTGAAATTTAGTGTAATACTTCACAAGACGGAATTAAATTTACTTTTGAATGTTGGGGTCCTTTACTTGTCTCAAAAGGTGAAAAAAGTAATTTATTGACCTTTATTGATGATTTATAGTAAACAAAATTTGATTATACTTTCATAACAAAAAGAGTGAGCTATTCATTAGTTTCAAGAGGTGGAAGATATTGATTGAATAATAGACTATGAAGAAAAGAAGTTGTCTTCATATCAATAAGGCATGAAACTTTTGGTGTGAAGATGTATTGTTTGTGATGCATTGACCCTCTATGACCCTATTCATGAATAATGTGACCTTTTGAATAGAATGGAATACTCTCACTAAGACAGAAATGGATAATATAAAATGAAAAATAGGTAAAGAGAACGAGAGATGAATCTCTCAACATAAATTGTAGTATAAGAAGGCACAATAAAAGTCTTATATGTTAAAGATGATTAGCCAAAAATTCATACAACACAAAAAAAAGTCCCTCAAAAAGAGTTTAGCATTACAATAAAGAAGCAACAAAAATAATTAGATGACATAATAGGTATAATTTGCTAACATTTTACATTTTGCTTTTTATTTTGGAAGTGAGACTATGAAACTAGAACCACATTCATATGTATAGGCCATTACATAATAGGTGTCCTCTAAGTGACACAGCCATGGAAGATAAGATTTAGTCTTTTAGCTATTTTTTTATTTGATTTATAATTTAAGTAATTTGATGTGCAAATAGTATTGCATGATGAGTTAGAGGAAATCTAGACACACCACCAACAGAATTTCATAGTTTCTTCTTGGAGATGTCATATGCTAAAACTATGTGCACTAACATGACTTAGTCATTGTATATTAAATCAAGTAAATTTAAAATTTATAAAGCTAAAAAGCACTAATTTTAAAATTTTAAGAATTATTTCTACATAATATATTAATTTAAAATTAATAAAGGCGCTAAAAATAAAAAAAAATCTAAATCGATCACAAGGATGTATAATAATATCAAGTAAAATTTTAAAACTTTTCTCAAAGAATATGATTTTATATATTTTTTAAAATAAAATATTATATGAAAATGCTTCTAAAATTAGAGAAAAAACGAATTTGGGTGCTAATGTCAAACAGATGTCAATGCTTGAAGAACACTAATTCGACTGAAAATAGAATAACATCCAAAGATTATTGCATAAGTGATTTAAGGAGTTTTGATTTATCTTGAAATTGAGATCTATAAACACCGAATGAATTTTAATGGACTAATGACGAATTTCAAAACTTAAATTATAGGAAAACTATCATTAATCTAAAGATTAAATTAGTTTAAACAAGAAAAATATATTTCTGACATTATGAAGAAGATCGTCAAAATTTTAAGTGTTTTGAAGTTGTACAAATGGCATCCACATCCTCGAAGGCTCTACTTGGATGTATATAGTGTGGGTACTCTCTAGAGTTGCATGTAGAGTCGAAAGGGTGAAGGTAGAGGGAGTGAAATTTCTTCAACAATTGTCACCTAGCAAAGTAGAAGTTTGACAAAAATTGTGGTCTAGTGGCTGTCACCTAGTAGATTGAGCTTTATAAAAGTGGAGTGCACCTCAAGAAGCTTCATCATTAAGTCCATGTAGAAAAAGTGTACCACATTTGGAACACTCTAATGAGATCATAACAAATCTCTTAATACATTCCTCTACCCTTGATGATGACTTATTTGTCAATCAATAGAAAATATGATTTCCTCTCAAGTTTTCATTTTTTATGTAGAGAATCTTTGATTAATTACTAACAATGAGCCTTGATTATTGTTGATGAAGATTCCATTGATGATTGACCATTTTCTTGGTTTTTCCTATTGATTGTTTCCCTATAGAAGAATCATAGAGTTTAAATAGAAGAAAATGTAACTATTAATGTTGATGAGATTTGAACCTATACTGATCACTTGGTTATGTAAGTAAAGTTAAAAAAAATTATCATGATAGCCCTGGAACAAACAAACGAATATGAACTCTTCTCTTAATATAGGAATATTTTTAATATTATTTTTACAAAAAAGCATTGTTGATGATTTAGTCCACCGATTGTCTACATGAGTTTTAAATCCACGTCTAGCCTGAATTCTGTATTTAGGTTCCTTCTCCCATAAATAAAATGGCCAGAACCACTTGGAGAGAAGGCTATATGTGTTACACATGTGTGACATGATCATACCCTCCCCCACATAGGGGTTCTTGCCCAATGACATGAACAAGAAGTCATGCACACATGTTCATAGGTCCTTAGCCACTAGAGCCCAGCTTGTGGCTCCACCTAGTCTAGGTCAACCCACTCAAGTGCAGTGTCCTTGGGCTAATCATTGAATGCCAGCTAGCTAGTAGGTTCCCCCCTTTTTTATATTTTTATTCATTTACTATATTATACTACATTTTAACTTGAAAATGTGAATATAAAAATCATATAAAATCACATAATTAACACAAACTCATGTTAGTCATGTAAAAATTATTTTTCTTAATTTAAAAACATATAAAATTATTTCTCATGAGTTAATATATAATATGTCATTAAGTTAACTATTAACTTATAATAATATAGACTTATTATGCACCCCTATGTAATTCTCTTGGGGTACACATCATATGCAATGGTAAGGTATAAAGTTTGTGTATCTATACTTACAACATTATGTGTGCTTGGTCACCTTTATGATAGCATGAGACTTGTTGCATATTGTGTGACAACTTGTCATCAAGAAGGGGGGTTAAATTGATAATATCTTCGTTTTTCACTTCTGCTAATATATTCTCCTCTCCTAGTTTGTGAGATACGGATGAGAAGACATGTACTAAAGATATTCTATGTTTAGATTGATCCAATCACAAGGCCTTGTCTACTCTCCAAATTGTTCGTACATTGTTACTTCTTTTTTTTCTACTAAATTCTTATTGAAATATGATGAAGCCTCATTTATGTATGATAAATCATGTATATGTGATATAACTGCAGCCTAAGGATTTTAATAAGGGCATGCATTTAAGATAGATCTATTTCCAAGTGATTCTAGACTGTTTACAAAAATACATGCATAAAATACTAACTTTTACACATTTTATAGCATGTGCATTTTATTTAATCAAGAAGGTTTTTATTTCATAGTCGTTTTACTCTAAATATGAACAAATATGTGCTTACATTGAGAAAAATCAGAATTATAAAAATTAAAACTTTTGTTGATTTATTGAAAGTTTCAGGGGAATATTGGGCTTGATATTGGGCTGATTATGTCAAGCCCAATACCTCATTTTGATGGGGGACTTTTAAGAGAAGAGAGAAGGATAGAGAAAGGGGGAAATACAGAGACAATTAGGACACATGAGCACTAGATGACCTTTGGGCATGACACAGAGGATTAGTGGAGCTGAGTGAGACAATGACAATTGTGACAATGAGCTCCCTCCTGCATGACAAGTAGAGAAGGAGCTGAGCACAGTGGTAGCAACACTCACAGCTACAGTGACGGTGGTGGCTGTGAGCTCCTCTTCTGTTAGGTGACAGGTGGAGGTGTTGAGCACAGTAGAAACATTAATCTCCCCGCTTCTTCTACAGGGTGACAGGTGAGCAATCTGGTGGTGGAACTCTTAGATTTTGTTTCAGTCCATTCCTCTCTATAGTTTCACATATTTACCTTTTTCTATAAAAGAAATTTCCTATTGATTTTGATGGCTTCAATTATAACTCTAGCATTTCCCAAACCCCAATGTGTTATTTGTGCTTGCCCCATTATTAATACCACTTGGAGTCTCCTTTAAAGTAAAATTTAGTTCTCCCTCCATGAGCATTGAATGTCCTATGTTGTCTCCTCTCTTTTTTGTTGTGTTGAGTCAATATTTAGTTGAACTTTCTCCTAGTAACATAGTACTGTGTCCAGATTTAGATTTAGCAGAATTGAAGTACAAAACCACGCTCAGGAGTTTGAGCATGGAGCATTTGGAGCTGTGAGCATAAGAAGAATTTTTTAGCTGACTAGAGCTGTGCATGATTTGTCTCCTACACAAGTCTTCTCAATCTTCAACCTCTATGCAGAATTTTGAATTATATTTCTTTCTTGTTCTTCATTTATTTTTTAGAGTCGAGTTATGTTTAGAAGATTACTTAAACTTTACCTAATACCAGACTTCCCCTGTGGATTGATCAGAATCTATTATGTATTTTGAATGAAATGCCAGTAGCATAAAACAATGACAAGGGGCATATCAAAATTATTAAAATTAGTCCTCTTAAAACAATGATAAGAGGCATATAAAAATACACACTAAATTACATGCTTCAGTTACCTTTCTACCATATTGAACACCTCCAACTCACTCAACATCAACCTTATAATTCTCTTCTAAAGTCGAAGCTCTAAAGAGCCAAGCTAGAGAACAATGTATTATTTTGACTGTAACTACCCAAACAAAGCAGACCCACTCCTCTCTTCTAGACTCATAGCTTTAAAGAGGCCAAAGTAGCCTTGAATGTCAATTCATTCTAAATACAAAAGTAGAACATGTTATTTTTCTTCGTGTTGAACTCTTAGCTTGTGAAGGCTTCAACCATCTAAATTCCTTGCATTGTAGAATCTTCACATGAAAGAGATTAAATTCCCAGAGCTGTAGTTAATCTACATTGCCTCAAGGTGTTCAAGGATGTAACTATCAAGCTTGGACTAAGACAAAGATGGTGGACACTGAAACTTTACTAAATTTTTCATGTAATTATCTTGTCAGGTTCTTTTATAATTTTTTTATGTGACAATATATTTTGTCCTTCAATAAGGAGTGAATTGAACCACTTTCTCTATCTAGCATATTGACCTGTCCAATAATCATTTGCAACAATCTTATATTTTTCCTATTCAATGCTTGAAACTTAGACTCTAGAAATAGTTTTAAATATTTAAAAAAATCTAGAAAAAAACTAAAACCTTCTAATTTTGATGCATTGTGTTACATTGTGTTTATTTTCTATTTAACTTTCCATGGTTTGTGTGAGACCCATTACCATATAAAATCACTTCATTCAAGTTGAACCATAAACATTAAGTGTTTTACTTTTAGTAAATTTATCAATATTATTAAGCATAGTTATCAACCCTTACAATTACGAAGCTTCTTTCATATATACTAATCAAGATCATCTATAAATACGACTCCACTAATGTTATATTATTAAACTACCTTTCTATGCGTACTATCAATGTCAAAATAGCTTAGGCTCTCAAGCCTTCAAGGTTCCATGCCAAAAATGTTATTCATTCATAAAATTAGTATGTGCTTTGCACCATAATATTGTTTGTGCTTTAGAAATAATAACTTTCATCAAGGTAACAAAGAAGCCGTCAAATATGAGAAGACAATCAATGATGGCATCCTCGTTGTTCATATCTAAGTGGTTGACTTAAGACACATAGGTTCCATTAAAATGAAATTCAAATAGACCAAAGTAGAGACAACATGATGATTAAATCTCATATGTATGACTTCGAATGCTCAAATATTTTCCTTTAATTATCATTTTTTTTAAGAAAAACATTCGCTGGGATTTTTTCATAAATGCATTTTGGGCATAGGCATTTCCCCTGATTTCTTGGCATGCTTGCTTGTGCAAAGGTGCCACTTCTTTTTCAAGGATTAGAATGAATAGATAAGAACACTACAATAACTCTGTATTTCGGGAAAAGGGGAAGAAATAATCGTAAGATCATGTGGGGAATGACCCTCCCAAAAATAAATTTAATGAAAAAAATTACATACCAGAGCCTTGCGTTGCGGATCAATGGTCGATGGACTGCCACGGGGAATGGGCGCGGCCCCAGAACATGGGCGATGGCGGCGGCATACTCTCATGGCGTCCACGAGTCCATTTGGTCCTCCGACCGATCGCTCGCCCATGCTCGGATGGGTGGGCTGAGCCTCGTCGGGTTCGTCCGACGTGTCCTCCTCGAAAACGGCGACCTTGACTTGGAGACTGCGATATGTTCATATTCATGCAGGGAGGAGAGAGAGAGAGGGAGTTTTGTGGAATAGGGAGGGGGGAGCGGCAGAAGAGGAATAGGGGGGCCGATGGCGGCGGTGGCGGCTGCGGAGGGGGCGGCGGTGACGGCGCTGCGGTCGGTGATGCAAAGGGTGCAGCAGGCGGCAGAGAGGGCGGGCCGGCCGGCGGAGAGCGTGCGGGTGGTGGCCGTCAGCAAGACGAAGCCCGTGTCCGTCATCCAACAGGTCTACGACGCTGGTCACCGCATCTTCGGCGAGAATTACGTCCAGGAGATTCTCGAGAAAGCTCCCCAGGTGTGCCATAGGTGTTCGCGTCGTCGTTCCCTTAATTCATCCGATTTTCGCTCATTTCTTCGTCGAATTGATTTCGAGACTCCGGATGTTTCTTCTTGCTGGTGGTAACCTAGGGAAGGGAAAGGGGACACTAATCAGTGCCTGCTACTACCCTCCGTCAGAGGAGTATATCTCTCCCCTGTCTGATTCCCTGATGAAATTTGAATCGTGATGCGAAAATGGACAAGCACCATGGATAAGCAAAGCCTGGTTGTAACCAGACCGAAGAAGAAAGATGATTGTAATTCTGGATTTAAGCACCATTGTCTTGCTCCAAGAGGGTGCTAAGGCAAGAGACAATTCACGTGAGAGATAACCAGGATTTGACTCAAAAGGTTATCTGGTCGGGTGACGGGATTGTGGCTTCTTAGAATCTTGATTAAGACGATGAAATCAGTAGGTCCTTTAGAACGGTGAAAAGAGAAAAGAGAAGGGAAAGAAAACGGAATCTTACTACATACTGAGATACAATGGTGGATTATTGGAGGGCGAGAATGTCAGATGGCTCTGTAAACATAGAGAGAAGGAAATCTGTATTCGCAGTTGCTGACCAGAATAGATCTTGCTCGCCTCAGTTCTCGATTGAAATGGTTAATGAAAAGAAAGTGCGGGGTTGGTGGTGAAGATCAGTTGGGAGATGACCAGATTGTAAAATATCAATGCAGCAGACTAATACAACATCTCTGCCAAACAGAAATAACTCATATACAGGTGAAAGTATTCTGAAAATATGTATAAATGGATTATTTAGTTGTGAACCTTAATTTTTGAATGGTAGTGAGACGCTATATGGAACAAATATGGCACAGAAAAAATGGACAAGAAAATTGTGAAAAAGATATTAAGGAACCATACTTCATCACGCTATTGCTATAGCCTATAAGATGGCTTCAAAGGCAGATCAAATAAAATATTTTGAAGTGAAAAAATGAAACTCAATAGATGCCTAATGGGTTTCCCAAATTTAATCTTCCAGGAAGACCTCTGGAGATCGCAGAGAGGATGGTGAATTATTTCATGAGTTAATGATCTTGGATGCTGAAATGTGAATTACATCTTTACCGAAACAAATAAGTTATAGGCATGATAGGGAGAATAATGATGTATTGGTCTGGGTTTCTAACAGCAACGGAAGATATGCAGAGTACCTCTTCTAACCGGTCGAACCAAGATAATGAACAACGAAATGCAGAGCACTTCTTTGGACGTTACCTTTATCTGGTAGCAGAAAAAAAGATTATTATTATTTTTTCTTCCTTGAATGAAATTTGGAATACAGTTGATGTGATTGTGATTTCTGAACCATGCCTTCATTTTTTGACAATATCTTTCATTTTTCTATTTCTGTTACAGGTGGAATTTCAATTATTATTTCTTCTTATCCTGGGATAATGATCATTCTGCCTTTTTTCAGCTTCCTGATGATATTCAATGGCATTACATCGGAAACCTTCAGAGCAACAAGGCCAAAGCTCTTCTCGGTATTTTTCTATATTTATTTGCTTGGGTTTATGTGCTGAAATAGTTTTTGCCCTTAGAAAGGCAGTCGTACGTGAACATTTCTCGGGAGAATTTTAATGCTAATGATGAATGTTAGGCAGTGATCTAAATTCTATTGGGTCACACTGTTTTACTATTTACAATTTATTTGTCTACTTGTTTCTCTGCCAGAGAAGCACTTGCGTTTGACTTTTTCCTTGTTGATTTAGGTTGTCAATTAGCCGCCATCCAATGTAAAGGCTCCTCTTTCTTGGCCCTTGTTTCTGATACCTTTCAAAATTCATGAATATTTACTTTCTTGTCCACAAGGTTGCATCAATATTCGACAAAATGTATTTCTCCTTCATCAATATTCGACCGATTGTAGTGCTCTCTTGGGGTTTATAGCAAACATTTGGGCTTAAGTTGACCTTGGTACAAACAGTAAAATTCTTACTTACGAGACTCTAACAAAACATTAAATTCCTCATTTTATTTTGCAGCCGGTGTTCCAAATCTTTGCATGGTTCAGAGCGTAGATGATGTCAAGGTAGGCTAATGTTCCTTTATTGTCTTTGATTAGCAGCGTATATCCGTGGTATTCTGCTTCATCTTAAAAGTGCTTCTTTTCAAACGTTTACAACTGATCTTCATTTGTACATGCGCTGGTGCACTCAGCGAAAACTTCAGATGATGAGTGGGACTCTCTGTCCACTAGCTAGCTTGAGCCTTTGACTTTTAGGACACTTTCCAGTCAGAAGGTCAGCTGAAGTCCATTTTTTAGAGAAATACTGTAAACGGACCTAAAAAGAGCTTTTGCCTTCATAGAACGGGTAAAAAGAGGTTTACTTCTGAGTTTTACCAGGAAAATGACGAAGATCAGAAACTCTGCTGCTTCTCCCTGAATGATATCATGAATGAGATCATGAGTGGGTTATCCAAGATTTTTACCCGTACTGCTAAAAATATCAACAAGATTCGCCTGGTCGATGAGAACTTACTTCTGTGAGTTTGTTGCTGCACAGGCATAATTTGATGGGAAGCAAGGAATATGGATTAAATGAAGGTGCAGGTGATCTCACCAATCTAGGGAACAGGAATTTATTGTATTTTACGCATATCACATGTGGATAACTATATGAGAGTTCTATTCCCGTTGAATGTCGAATTCACGAAGAAATTGGTATCTTCGGATGAAAGAACCATGAATCAAAGCAAGAAACACCTCCCATAAGCCCATCCATCGAACCTTTTAGTTGATTGGGTTGAAACAAGGAGTCACACGGGAGAATTTCGACGGTAACCAGGTTTTCTGTTCACGATGGTGTTTTCCTCCTCTGTTTTATTATTCTCGATTAAATATACTGGCAATGCAATGTGTGTTTAGCCCATTGTCAGCTGTCGGCCTACTTCTTCCTCCTGTGTACAGATTGCCAATTATCTCGATCGAGCAGTTGCTAGCATCGGGAGGAAGCCTCTGAAAGTCTTGGTTCAAGTCAACACCAGCGGAGAAGAATGTAAGTTAGAACACAACGTTTCCTCAGTGCCACGGCGTTGCCCTTCATTTTCTATGAATCATATCACTCTATATGCTGCACTTTACTTAAAAAAAAAGACATGCCACGCTTGTTTTGGTCAACGGAAAACCATTGCCCAAACCCCACAAGTTAGGATATTAAGATCTAACAAAAATGATCCGAGTCCCATTTTTCTTCATAAAAAGAAATGTGCATGGCATGAATGTTCATCTGGGATCCTTTCTTTGAACTGCTCATCATACTTTCATTCCTTGACTGTCAACGATTTCGCTCGTACCTACTTTGGCAGCCAAGTCCGGCGTACACCCCACGGGCTGCGTCGAACTGGCCAAGCACGTCAAGCTGAGCTGCCCGAATCTCGAGTTCTCCGGCCTCATGACGATCGGGATGCTTGATTACACCTCCACCCCAGAAAATTTCAAGGTTTCGCCCCGCTGTCTCCTTCATATTCAATAATAGTATCAACGCAAGAACAATAGTGATGGCGGTAACAATGGTTCCTCTATTCCTAGTGCAGACGCTGGCAAACTGCAGGCTGGAGGTGTGCAAGGCGCTGGGGATCCCAGAGGACCTCTGTGAGCTATCCATGGGGATGTCTGGCGACTTTGAGCAGGCGGTAAGAACAGTTCTTCCTTCAGGGTTAGGGTTCGGGGGGTGTGATGGAGGACGGGGACTGATGGATTCCTGTGTGAGGGTAATGCCTGCAGATCGAGATGGGCAGCAACAATGTTAGAATCGGGTCTACCATATTCGGCCCAAGGGAGTACAAGAAGAAGGAGGAAGCCCAGGGATGATGCGGCGTTGCGGAAGAGCATGCCCACCAGGTGTTTTATGTATTAATCTACTATGAAATCCCAACTTTATGTTCGACAGATCAACCGACATGAAATATTCTGGTGATTTGATGTGAAGCATGTCTTCGAAGATCTCCCTCCCTCTCTCTCTCTCTCTCTCTCTCTCGCTCTCTCTCTCTCTCGCTTGGGGAGAGAGAGAGAGAGTTGCCAAATGAGTGCCTCTTAAATCTTGGAGGTGGAGCTATTTGGATGACGATCTCAATGAAGAAAACATTGGGCGGGAGACTGTTGACCATCCACAGTTAGAACAAGCAAGAAGCAAGGTTCTCTACTTATCCTAAAGTCAAAATATTAGAATCTATTAGTGATTTATTTTCCCTTGTTTCCACTCATTGTCGATGGTGCGAAGTGCACCCGATCCTGTGCTCAGGTCGACGGAGATCATCCATCCGTTCATTGCTTTCTCTCTCTAGTTCTCCTCGGTGGGGTTTCTCTGGGTTTGACTCTCCCAGTGAAACCCCGGTGTTCGTGCGCCTGTCGTAGCGTTGACTTTAGTCATCAATTAGTGCTCGTCCTCGCCGAGCTCAAGACCTTGTACTTCCAGAGGCTATCCTTTTCGCGAGAGAGAGAGAGCGAGAGAGAGAGAGAGAAGGAGAGGAGAAGGGGACGTGTCCACGCAATCGCTTGTCGAGGGGAGCAAGAAGACATGCTGCCCATCCAATTATTCGTCCAAGTATTTATTACCCGCAACACGCAGGTGCCACTCTGTGGAAACCAGCGGGAAGGGCGGGGGAGGAGAGGAGAGAAGGTGGAGGCGCTTCTAGTCGCAGCGGATGACGACGGCATCGCCGCTGAAGGGGAAGCAGCTGGAGAAGCTCTCTGCAGGCAGCAGGCCGGGCTCGCTGAGGCACTCTGCCGAGGAGAAGATCGCCGCCGGCTGCCCGGTGTAGACCAGCCGGTAGCCGCCGTGCTGGTTGATGCGGTGGCACACACCGCAGGCGCTGAACCTCTGCTCCGTTCCCGTGCAACCAGGCCCCCCGTACGCGATGAAAGTGCTCCCCTCCGCCACCTCCACCAGCAGCGCCGCCGCCACCAACGCCACCACCAACACTAGCGCCGCCCGATGGAGGGAGGATCTCTTCCTTCGGGGTGTCACGGGGATGGCCATGGTTAGAGGTCTGTGGTGGGAGATCCCATCATCCACTCTGTGGCCATTTATAGGGCGAGGAACTTGAAGAATTCCCAGTTTCCTTCTTTCTTTTCGTCATTCAACCCCGCCGCCGGTCCCTTTCCACAGTCTCCGGTCCACCAAAGCGAAGGAGAGAGAGAGAGAAACCTTCCCCGGGTACCCGTGTCCTGCATCTTCTTCAAAGATTGGATAAGGATTCGAAGGCGGATCCTTCACTACATACCTTGTCAATATATCCACGCATCACATACATAGATGAACAGAAGTATCTGTATCTACCTACTCTCTCTCTCTCTCTCTCTCTCTCTCTCTCTCTCTCTCTCTCTCTCTCTCTCTCTCTCTCTCTCTCTCTCTCTCTCTCTCTCTCTCCCGACGCTTTGTTTTTCGGAATCAGCTGCCGGATCGGTGCTTCGGCGCAGCTAGGGCTTAAACCCAGCAAGTCCTTATTGGGCCGCCCTTACCCAGGCCCATTAACGGGTTATTCCTCTTCCGCCCACCGGGTTGCATATGGGTCGGGTCCGTACACGCTAGGCAGACCGACGGGTCCGAGCCGTAGGTGACTGTAACCATCCTCCGCTTCTGCGGGGTCAATGGTCAACTGTATGCAGTCAATGGTCACCGTCACAACTCGGTCAACGGACAACGACGTTAGCATACGATTATAATTTCCCATGGGACCAATTTTCCCAACTGTTCCGTCGGAAGAAACGATTCTGCCGATTGAACCAAGGACCTTTTTATCCACGTGGGTTCATCAGATAGGCTTTCCCCCCGGCAGGGGATCGAGGCCGATAGCTTCTGCGAGAGAAAGCGAGAGAGAGAGAGAGAGAGAGAGAGAGAGAGAGAGAGAGAGAGAGAAGAGAGAAGAGAGAGAGAAGAGAGAGAGAAGAGAGAAAGAGAGAGAGAGAGAGAGAGACAGACAGACAGGGCAGACGTATCTATCCAATCGCTTGTCGCCGGGGGAGGAATTAGATGTGCTGTCCATCCAATTATTCGTCGAAATATTTATTATCCGCTACATGCAGGTGCCACTCTGTGGAAGCCAGCTGGTAGGGGGGGGAGAGGAGAGGAGAAAGGCGGAGTGGGTCGGGGGCAAGCTCTCCTAGTTGCAGCGGATGACGACGAAGGAGACAGAGAAAGGGGAGCGAGAGAGAGAGTGAGAGGAGAGGGGGACGTGTCCACGCATCGCTTGTCGCGGGGAGCAAGAAGACATGCTGCCCATCCAATTATTCGTCCAAGTATTTATTACCCGCTACACGCAGGTGCCACTCTGTGGAAGCCAGTGAGTAGGGGGGGAGAGGAGAGGAGAGGAGAGAAGGTGGAGGTGCTTCTAGTCGCAGCGGATGACGACGGCATCGCCGCTGAAGGGGAAGCAGCTGGAGAAGCTCTTCGCAGGCAGCAGGCCGGGCTCGCTGAGGCACTCCCCCGAGGAGAAGATCGCCGCCGGCTGCCCGGTGTAGACCAGCCAGTAGCCTCCGAGCTCCTTGATGCGGTGACACACATCGCAGGCGCTGAACCTCTGCTTCTTCCCCGTGCAACCAGGTCCACCGTACGCGATGAAAGTGCTCCCCTCCGCCACTTCCGCCACCAGCGCCACCACCAATAGCAGCGTCGCCGGGTGGAGAGAGGACCTCTTCCTTCTAGGTATCGTCGGGATAGCCATGGTTGGAGATCTGTGGTGGGAGACCCCATCATCTACTCTGTGGTCATTTATAGGGCAAGGAGTTTGAAGAATTCCCAGTTTCCTTCTTCTTCTTCTTCTTCTTCCTCTTGCTTCTCGTCATTCAAACCCGCCCCAGGGTTCCCTTTTCCCAGTCTCCGGTCCACCAGAGCGAGAGAGGGAGGGAGAGAGATAAACCTTCCTGGGTTGCCCGTGTCCTGCGTATTCTACATAGATTGGATAAGGATCAAAGACGGATCCTTCATTACATACCTTGTCAATATCCACGCATCATACACATAGATAAAAATATGTATCAGTATCTACCACTCTCTCTCTCTCTGTCTCTCTCTCTCTCTCACACACACACACACTAATACAAGAGCAGGAAACCGAAATGGAGCACATCAAAAAACCGAGGGTCTGGGGAGGTCGACCCATTGTAGCCTCAGCTGCACCTCGCCGGACTCCACGTCCCTCAGCCTGAGAACGACGTCCTGGACGAGCTCCCCGCCGGCGGCCACGTAGATGGAGCTCTCCTCCGCCAGGCAGTTGCTCCGGCCGGGCCCAACCTTCTTGGCGACGGCCTCGTCGGTGGCGCCCGCCGACCGCATCTGCACCGCCTCCAAGAACGGCCGCAAATCAAAGTCAGCATTGCCCATCGGGTCGTCGACGCTGAAGGTGTCCTTGTCGTACACCACCTGGATGGAAGGAGAGGAGCTCGTTGAGGACCCAAAAAACCGAGTTCTTGAGAAAACACTGAAAGGTCTCTCATCTGGGTTATCGAGTTGATCTTCTGAGGAAATATTATGGAAATTTTATGCTAATTTTTGTACATGGAATGGAAAGCAGAGAGATGCCACATGATCTTCATCAGGTTCAGACATGAGACATGTTCTTAAAAGAACTCAAGAATGTTCTCAAGATGGATGCGACCATCTGGGTTTTCATGTGATCTTAGGAAACACTCCGATTGAGCTGTCCAGATGAAAATATTTTTCTCATCGTGACAAAAAAAAAAAACTAGTTCTTATTCGTGCAGGGAGTGGAGGGTTGGATCCACAAGATCTCTATCAAGTTCAAGCCAGAGGAGAGTTCTCCCATCAGATAACTCTGAAAGATTTAAAGAAGCTGTCATCTGGGTTTTCGTAATGTCTATGGAAATACTATGATTCTGAGATTGAAATGGAAACATCTTTCTAGTTATGGAAAAAAGAATTTACTGCTGATTTCTTCATGGCGCGGAAGATTGGTTCCACAGTTCGGGGGTAGAAAGAAGAGAGAATAGCCAGCGATTCCACTTACGAGCTTGATGGCCTGAGCTGGATCCACAACGGACAAGGTCAGGTCATCGTTCCACTCGGGATTAATGTTCTTCTTCACCACACGGGTCTTCAATTTCTGCAGAGAAAACCAGCTGAGATGAGCAAGAAATATTGTCCCAATGTAGCAGCAGCCCACGAAAAAGGAATAACTCAGAAGGCTCAAAGCTAACCTGGATGTTTAGTCTCAGAATATGTAGTAGCAATAAAAAATAATTGAAAAAAAAGGATGAACTTATACCTCGTCTAAAAATATATAAATATATGTATATATTCATATTAATAATAAAAATCATATTTATGACTACATTGTAGTGAAATCATAAGAAAATACTCGAAGAAAATTTCCAGGTTTATCCATACAACTATGTCAGTTATTTTCAAGAACCGTAAGCTTTATTTCATTTTGTCGAAATGTTTACATCTGCGGTTTATTGTTCACACCTGTTGCACCAGTTAATTCCCCATCAGAAAAAAAATCGGTCCTTGCCTTAGTTAGCAATTTTCAAGGAGAAGAAGCCACATCTCAGATGGTCGTCCACAGAAGATTTCCATGTTCTTCAGAGTTATCCGCTCCAAAATGAAGTTATTAACTCGTCTAATTTTTCATAGAAAAATAAATGTGCCCCATAAATGTCTGGATGTTAAATCTATAATCCACCATAAATACGATTCATCTGCCAACCAAGTCTCAGCGCGAGATTAGTGAGGTACACAATATGGACGACCAAATTCAGACAAGAAAATTTGAGAAGATCTGGTCTACAGATGGAAAACAGAGAGAACATATGCGAGGAAGAGGAAGAACCTACAGAAGCTGATCTCGAGAGTGAAATGGATACTGAAGGACAATCCATTCAGATGTTGGCATACGATTATAATTTCCCATGGGACCAATTTTCCCAGGAAATTTCCCTAACTGAAATGTCGGAAGAAATGATTCTGGCGATTGAACCAAGGGGATTATTATCCACGAGCGTTCATCAGATAGATTTTCCCCGCCACAGCAGATCGAGGCCAATAGCTTCTGAGCAGTGTGGAATTCACAGAGTCAGGGAGACTATCGCAGTGCTAGTCGACCAGAGATGCACCGACCCTAGAAACCTAACAAGATAGTAGATGGATGCATCGCAACCCCAGAGACGGAAGAAACAGAGAGGGATCGATTCCATCAGAGATGGATAGATAGATAGATAGATGGACAGATAGATAGAGAGATAAAGAGAGAGAGAGGGGTAAGAGAGAGAATAAAGGAGAGGGGGAGGAGGAAGAGGGGAAACCTGATCACCCATCTTGATCACCACGTAGGGGTCGCTGGCGCGGACGTCCCGGACAACGAGGTTCTTGCCCCTGACGACCCGCACCTTGAGCAACCCCATCATCTGGTCCATCTTCCACGAACTCCGTCACCCCTTCTTCTCCTCGGCTCCTTCTTCCAGTCTCCCCCGGCCCCCTCGCCTTTACTCACCCTGCAACAACGGTCACAGAAAAACCCACAGCGAGGACCATTCTTGTCGGCAGGCAGGCAGGTGCTCGTATTTAGAAAACGGCCGTTGGCGGGGGTCTACGCGCTCTCACTCTCTCTCTCTCTCTCTCTCTCTCTCTCCAAGCCCATGTCTACTGAATCATCGTCGTCTTTTAATACTAAATGTAGTGCTTCACTGTCCATATTTTAATAAATAATTAGTTTTAAAACAAATTCGATGGGCATTAACATATTACGAGTGAGTTTTTTTTTTATATAATCTCGGATGCTCACCTCCAAACGTCCTTCATTAAAATATTTGATCCTATTAATAAGTTCCACAAAAAATGAAGCATTCTACAGCACTTGGAATTTTCAACTCGCAAGAAAATTTATTTATTTTAAAATATCCTTTTTTATTAAGAAGAAAACATACATAAAAGACGTCAACATCTTGAATATGAATAAATATCTGCTCTTTTCTTATTTATATTTGATGAGTTTTGATTTTTTAAAAGTATCACACATAATACATTCAGAAAATTTCAACCACTAAATATAATATTAACACGTACAATCTTGTCTTCAAGCAAAAAATCAAGTTTGACTTAAGTATTAACCTTGACTCAGTAGCTTGACCATTCGTGAATTTCATGATGATCTAGATCATGGGCTTATTCATAAAATTTAAAATAATAAATTATCTGGATAATAATAATAATAAATATTCTATATAATCTTATTTTTTAAGTATTCAAACTATTTTAATTAGAAATCCAGTAAAATCACATACCTTGATCTATCATCAAACTATATTTTATATTATGAGAGAGAGAGAGAGAGAGAGAGAGAGAACCACCATGATGGATCCATAACATCTACCAGATTTCTGCAGCCTGATATCAAAATTTTTAAGAAGATAACTATCCGCAATGAAATATGCAACAAGTAGAGAAGAAACCCATCTCAATCTCATCACGAGCCACCTTTTTTATTCAAGAACTGTTTCGACCCGGACATGAAATCTGCTCTCGGGAGTCATAAAACATCACTACAACTCCATACTGCCGGGCGTTGCAGGGAAAACGCCAGCCATGATTGATGATAAGCAAGGCTTTGGAGCCATCTTCAGCCCTGCATCTGAAAGAAGAAAATGGCCTCTCTGTCATCGACATCCTTTTGATCTGGGCACCGAGGGAGGGCACCCCCTCCTGCATCACCAGCCATAATTTCAGGGCTCTCACATGTTGGCCCAGTGGAGAGAAGCCCAGGATGCCTGCCCAAATGGTGGCGGCAGTGGCGGCGGTGGTGGCAGCTAGTTGGGAACACGGCGGATCGGTAGGGGATGAGCCTCTGTGTTGAAGACAAATTTGTCCAACGGGAGGACATTACTGTCTCCAAACAGCAAGTACAAGTACTTCAAGGTTTCCCCTAGGAAGAAGGTCTCCATCTTGTCTCTCCGGTGTGCCGGAACGACCGTCACGTCGTCCAGGGAGGAGTAACCTCCGGAGTCAACCTTCGTGTGCCTCTCAAAGGCCTCGAAGATCCGCCATCCCCACTCCCTGTACCTGCAGGGGAAAGGTCAACCGGATGGTCAACGATTGGCGAGCAGGGAGGGGAATCAAAGGGCATAATGTCAAAAACGGAACTTCAGGTCCGACTAACTTTGGGTCTTCGGTGATGCGATACAACACGAACAATGACTCCACAGTTTCGGGCCGCAGCAGGTTGTGGCGGTCAGCATGCTTGATTGTAATGTCGTTGACATATTCCGAGCTCTGGTTCCCCCCACCGAGATGTTCTTCAGAGCCCCCCTGAGTCAAGACACGGTGCTCGGTCAACTGCTGCCATCTGTGGCAATCTAGTCGCCATTTAAAACCATGGCGGAGGATTGAATCTCACCTCAATATGGAAGTAGGCGATCTCGGGGGCAAGACCGGTCGCAGTCACCGAGTACATCTCGAAGCACGTCTTCGCCAGATCCTCGGCGAGCTGAAGATTCTTGACGTCATCAGCTGTTAGCAGTTTATCTTTCAGTGCTCTTCTCCTCGTGATTCCTTTAGTTGCACCGAGGGCGAGCGTTCCGGGCAGAAAGCAAACCTGCACAGATAATATATATATATATATAAAAGCAGAAAATTTCATCATCTACTATGAGGTGACTCATACTAGCTGGAACTCAATTCTACTAGCATGGACTTAAAAAGGGTAAGAAGGATTAATTTATGCATGGATAGTTATAGTGAAGAGCCAGAATCAGTAGAGAAGGAAAGTAGGTGAGACTACCACCTGCTACCACCCACAAGCCCATTCATATGCTCAGGAAGAACTCGCCCTTCGTTAAAGATGTTACCATTAAGCAAGGTAATTAAAGCTTATGGCTTTTAGGTAGCTGATTTCTGTATGGGAGTTAACATTTCAGTCGATAAGATGGAGGTATGATAAGGAGACTGCACTTTCCATGATACAGAAATCTGAAAGTTTGCCGAAGGAGATGAAACACTTGTGCATACATAAGCGGAAAAAAAAAAGAGTTTGTAAGAAAACCAGCATACTTTTAAGTGAAAATTACTTGCATAACATTGAACATGCTTGGTTCCTCTCAGAATTGATGTTTTTTCACTCCAAGGAACACATGAAAACCCAAGGATCACAGAGATTCATAGAGGGAACAGAGACCCATACTTTAAGTGGCCGTTAAATCTTTAAAACCAATCATTCTTCATTGTGGCAATCAGCGATTAAGCCGACAGACTTTCGCCCAGACAGTAAACCTAGGATACGAAGATTCAAAACCCTAACAGCTTCAGCCATAATCATCACTCTTTGTTCACAACGTACGCATGGTAGATGTCACATATGATTGTGCTAAAAGCATATTCAAAAATGTTAACAGAAGATAGATTAAGAGCGTTAATAATTGGCTCTTACATGCTTAGCGAGTTTTAGATATAACTTGTAGTACAAAAATGCAGGCCGGACTAAGACAGTGCAAGCTACTACAAAACCAAGAAGCATGCATATGGCAATGGTTTGAATCACATGTCTTTCGCCAAATAATCCTCGAAAGAACGCCTGTATTCTCTGACCACGCCAAGTTAAGAGATTTCGGGTGAAAGCCGTAGGCTTCAAGCATGGCCTACCCTTCAGTTGACTGTGTAAGACTTTCAAGGTTCTGAGACCAAACTGAAGCCTCTCTTGCTCAAAAAGTTAAAAGGGGCTGCAGAAGAATGTGTATCGGGAAAGTTGCATACATGGAAACTATTGAATGATGACTATAATCACAAACAGCACAACCCCAAAACGTACGGTGAAATTCCTGTATGCCCAAAAAGTTTTGCACATAAAAACACAGATGAAATTGAACCATAAATATCTATGAAATAGCGTACAGACGATGCATAGATTCCTTGTCAACTGAAAACATGACTTGCTTTTTTGTAAACTCCAGAATCCATCGACTTTCTGGCACATATGACAAACTGACGAATTTACTTGGGCATAATAAACCATAGTTAGGTCCATGCGCGCATAGGAAACAGATGTAAACTGTGAAAAACTTGTTTATATTATCAGAGACCATTTTGTCCGTAAATTCAAATAAAAATTAAAAACGCAGAAGGTTTTTAGGTTAGTGAACATAGTAGTAAAAGAATTGCATACCAGATGATCCATTTTTGGACTAAAGCCACCACCATGTCCATAAGGTAACTCTCCTACAAACACTAATCCTTTGGGAATCGACTTCCGAAGAAGAAGGTTCATAACACCTTTCATTGCTTCCTCATACATATCATGCAAATACTTCAGACGACTGTTGCGGCTACCTCCTTGATGAAGCCATACTTTGATTAGGTACTCATAATAGCTGTCACCTCGTGATCCTAATCGAATATTTTCTCCACTAAACTGACCAGAGTGAGGGCTGTGATTAAAAAAATTCAAAGAAAATAGTTGATTTAGGACAACGTTGAGAAAAGACCATTAATTAAAGAAAACGAATGAAAGAATAGAAATAAGCCACATAAAAATTCATATGCATTCAACGCTAATTAAATTACGATATGGCACGGGATTCATCCATAGAAACAAACTGTTAAAAGAGTCAGTGAGTAAAAATAAATTGGAAAAGTCTACTCAGAAGCACAACAGTTGGCGAATTTAAGAAAACGAGGACTTATATAATGACATGTAGGGCGTGGCAATATGCTTTAAACATGCATATGTGAGGAAACGAAATGAACGGCCACACTACCACGAGAGACTTGGGGAATGACCTGCTGGATGGGAGTTATTTTTGACAAATTTCAGTTTAGGTTTTTGCGTGCACACTTGATTCAGCTATATATCTGTAACCAAAACTACGGACAATTTTGAGATAAATTGGCACATGCATGGCACAGGATGAACAAAAGAGTCCTTATTTTTAGATTCAAGAGTATAATGGAATATCCTGTGATTTCATAGCCAATGGTGAAACATGGGAATAACTGACTCACAATTAAAGGTCTCCTTTTGTTTAATCATATATTTCTTATTAAGACCAACTTACCATAACGAGAGACATATGCATAAAACCTTCTTTATTCATTCCATATAGATATCATAACAAGTATATGATCACGATTTATGGTGCCCAAGTACATTATGTAGTGGAGCACGTCGATCCTTCAATTTCTTTGAGATTTGAAATCAATCAAGTATTCGGAAGAGGTTCAGTATCAAATATCAAACAAAAAAAGGATAGTCTAGAAATGAAAGATCAAGGTAACATAGGTTGACATTAAGAACGAAACGTGCCAGAAAATATTGTTTCTTTCATGAAATCCCCGTTTGAAAGTTTGAAAGGATTTCTGATATTTATTAATGTATATCTGGATGAAAGAAGAAAGCGACATTGGATGAGTTCAAACAACTAGTATAAAAGAAAGTTTCCACCTCGAATTGATGTGTGCTCCAGCAACCAACAGAGAAAAAACAGAAACTTATCTATGCAAAGGGGAAAAAGTACAGCAACAATGCATTAAGTTCAGAATACATCAAAGAAAATGAAGGCAAACGAATATTAGCCACTTAAAAAGACAAAAAATTCATTGAAATAAGTCTTGGCCTCATAATGACATAGAATCAATAAAATATAACCCACTGTTTTCCAGCTGAAAATAACAAAAATAGACCTGTTCCATCTCATGCAAATCATAGCAGACAGTAATACAAAAAATTGCATCATATGAATAAAATGAGAAAAGAAACCAAGAGCATGAAAAAAATGCATTTTACGATTGACATCAGTGGCCTCTTACCTTATGTATATAGGCACTAGGCCCTGAACCTTTGGAAGTGTTTTCAGATGCTCGAAAACCTTCATTGCTGCTAAACCATATTTCGGATCCCCAGAAATGTCACTCAGGTAGTTGAACTCAAGCTGCAGGGTGGAAACTTCCGCAGTACTACTCAAACCATTTGGAGCTGGGTGTGCAGAACGATCACGAAGAATCACATCACTGAAAGGAATAGGAGTTGGGCTTGACGTAAAAGCAGATAAGAGCCGGTCTGCCAGGTTCTTAGCTGTTTCCAGGTAGACTTTAGCCTTCGGTCCTTCAACATGCGCTGGGATTCCCATGTCAGCCAGGGTACCAGGGTCTCCCCCTTGCAAGTGGTATGCGCTAAGCAGCCCTCCTAGAACTCGTATAGTAGTTTCAAATAAATTGACCTGTCCTTTCTGATTAATTCTCTCAGAAAGATTGTTTTGTATCCATGTCCCAGCATCAGAAACAACGTCATCAATACCCATTATTATGGCTGTATCTAAGGAATCCACTACTGTGGCACCTAAACCTCCTAATCCATCTGTGCCTCTCCTACTCAGTGGCATAAGTTCATCATAACCCATTGCATAATTCTTATAGCCAGACCATGCATGAACGAAAGCCTTCCTAACCGCTTCTTGCCTGAATGCCCATACTCTGGAGGAATTCAACTTGTTGGAAGCAAGTAGAGAAGACTTATTCAGCAATTTGTCTGGAGGAAGCTGTGGGGGAAGACGTGGAGGAAGCCTTGGAGGTTTTCTCAAAAGCCTTCCAATCCTGCTGCCACCAGGATTTGTTTGAGTATGTTGACCTCCAGAAGTTACACCATCTAGAGATCCAGTTGAGCGAGAATGAACTGGAGTTTTATGCACCGTAATTAGATATATAACGCCACAGATCATGAGTAGCAATAAAAACCTTCCAGTAGTACATTTTGCACAACTGCGCTTGATATTTTTGGTAGCAAAAGCCTGACTTATTCCCTAGTGTGACAAAAGACAAAGATAAGTGAAGAAAATATATCCGAAAAAAATATAAGCAATCATGGAGGAAGAAAAAAACTATAATCTCCATGCATCATAGTTTTTTATAAGAAAAGATGTTTTAACCAAGAAAATTAAAAGAAAACAAGACAAAGACAAAAGTTAATCAGCCAATATGTAAATATAAGTACCACAAACCATATATCAATGTAGCCACCTGAAGTGACGATCACCAAGGAGCAAGGTCTCAGAGGTTCCAGACGCAGCCTACTGATTGCCTGACCAGGAAGAAAAACCTAAACCTGAAGTACTACATGGCATTGACCAGTAAAACTGTCCCACAACACATTTTCTTAGCATAGTTACTAACTGAAAATATTGTCAACTAGTTATTTCCCTGGTTACTAACTGAAAAATTATTGCATAAACTGGAATAATAGGCCTGAGCGTGTTGGCTCCTAGCAGTGTCAATAAGTCATGCCGAGGTCTGTTCCAATTTAAGGTGGGTCTAAACAACAAAAAAGTGAAACCAAAACTAAAGGAGCCACAATCCGGTCCACAAACTGGGCTCAGGTTTCATTCAGATTGCACTGAAACCTGCATCAACGTTATTAAATTTCCAGTTCATTTGCCTACGAAACAATTCCTGCAGGATGGCAGACAAAACATTGTTGTTATGAAGCTTTCACATTTTATCTCCACCTCTCAATGGAAATGAAGTGTTTGGTAATATTATATAGCATGGTATTATGGGTTACATGTAATTTCTTGTCAATAGGCTGGAAACCACCTTATCCTCCAGATTCTGCTGTTGAAACTTGCAATATGTGCGATGTTGACCCACCTACAACTCGATGGCCGTAGGTGCCACTGTAATCAAAATATTGCTCACCATCTGATTGCTTTAGCTGCTTCACATCTTCTGCTGCTAATTTTTTCCATTGTTCTCTTGTGAGTGTTTCTTCTTGTTCATCTGTCAGAGAGCGAAACTACAGTGATTCACTTTATCTAACCATATGTGAGCCTTGAGGGTGCTCTCTGGGGAGGGCCATCTTTGATCTTTTCCACCCAAAAGTGCCAAGCACTGGTTTGCTGAATAGTCAAGGAGACCACAAGTCCAACTCTAGTGAGGCATCCTTTTATCACATAATATGCATTGTCTTATCTTTATAAGTTTCAAAAAGCAGTGTGTTACACAAAGCAGTATAGAATCACCCTTCATGTCAGGCAGCCTAAGATGGACTGGAGACAGTATTAGGCCCACTGTATTACCAGGCTGATCCCATATTGTCTAGTTGAAATTGGCTTACGTGATCCATCAATCATAATGATGAGATGCATAACCTACATGGTAACCACAACTTTTCACATTGTCTTTAGGATAAGGGACATGAAAATCTAAAGAAACAAATATGAGCGAAGCAGTCATGCTTCATGTCCCATGCCTTTTTCAGATCATGATACTTTGTCTATTGTGCAGACAACTACTCTATCTAGTTCACCTAAATACATGGCACAGTGACCAATCATTCTATGAATGATTTTGAGAATCTTTAGTATCCCAAAAATGACAGAAACAACTCTTAATTCTTAGACAATGTTAATTATAATCCTTCATAACTACATAATTTCTTTTTCGGTGGTATAGATGGTTCCTTCTTTCAGCATATTATCACAATCATTTTATCACATTATCCCGTTAAAATTTGCTTCCCCATCCCACGACAATCTCTAAAATTACCTAATTTGATCCATGTTTCGTATCATCTCTTTCCCTGCTCTAAAGTTTCTCGTGCATAAACAGTGTTTGTTCTCACTCGTTCGAGCCGATCCTCATCCATATGTTAGCATTTAAAAAAAAAAATGATCATAATCAAGAAAAAGAGATGGAGAAAGGCTGAAATCAAGGTGCCCACCCACAATGGCACCGACAAAAAGAACAATTGGAAAGACGTCACAGATAGATAGCATCATAAAACACAAAAAAAAATTCAAAAGAAGAAATATTAGCGTCACATGGTAAATCTGCCCGTTAAGATCCACGGAGTCCGAAAGGTGAAAATTAAAAGGAGATAACAGAAAAACAGGACCGGAATCCGATCTGAACGAAGACAACCGGGACGAGGAAAAGAAGATGATGAAGAACAGTGTGAAGACCTGGATATAGCTGCGAGGACGGAATTTGTCGTTATCGTAGCCCACATCCTGCATCGAATACGGCAGCACCTTGGACATACCTGCGACTTCCCCGATCCCAGCGGAGACCGCTGGCAGAAGACGGAGAGAGAGGAGCCCCACCAGCAACTCTGATGCCTCCTCACGTCCTCTCTCCGCAGCCCTTCCTGCCGCTGGCAATAGAGACCATCCCCAGACTGAAAGCGGTGGGGGGGCGGGGAGAGAGGTTCGCTCCGGGTCAACTCAGAGCCGAAGACCGTAGAGCATAGAGCGAGGACTCGAGAGGAGGAAGCCGACCGAGAACTCCGGTAGAACCATTTCCGGGTCCGTAACGGGTTTCGGGGAAAAAAGAATCGGATATCCTTATCTGAAGCAGTCAGCTGAAAGGAATTCTGGGATGGTGGAGAAAGCCTGAGACCAGAATGAGAGAAGACCCAAACGGAAATCGATTGAGGGCAGTTCAAAGAGCGTTGAGATTAAATCTGAGGAAAGGACTTTGTGGGGCCCACACATTTATTTGAGCAACAATTAGATATGATTTTATGATTTACCCTTATTTTGGTCAACAGCATTCATTTCTCTACCTATTTTCCGTCTACATATGAATTTATAGCCATTAAACCATATATATGATTATTAGTATTTTTTATGAATGCCATGGATGAACTATGCTTGGTTGTTGTAGGCAGTCCAACATCTTGAAGTGAAGGGGCCTAGATGACAAAACGTTGACTAAAGTGATCGCCTTGAAGAACACTAAACATGTGATGAATCTTGGGTCTTCTTCCTGTGCCCAAATAATCACAAAGAGACCAGTCATGATGAAATAAGAAAACAGGGTTTGACGCCAATAAGTATCTCAAATTATCTCAATTTTTTATAACTTATTGTATTTGATCAAATTAAAATTTTGATTTAGATGAAAAATGTTTGTTACAAACCACCATAATAATAACCCATGCTTCAAGTTTAGCGATTATTTTTCAACTATATGGAGATCAATAATTACGAAAAAAGCAAATTTGATCTTATTCTTCTAATAACTCCGAATGAGCATAATCTTCTTTGTATATCATGAAGAATACCATACCTATTAGGATTCCCAAGTACAGCAAAAAATTAACCCATGATTTCAGGGTTTGGAGCTTTTAGGTTCAAACACTATTATTTATTAATACTTTAAATTTTCATTTATTTAAGGAAAAGAACTCACGATATGCACTTATTAGGCCTTAGTGATTTGGACAACCATGCGATTGAAAAATGAAGAAAAGCCCACATGAGAATTTATAACTAATAGTAAAATTTTAAAAAATTGTTTTATTTTTGCTCATGGTTGACTTCCATAGGATAGTTGTCCCAAGAGATATCCTCTTTTTATTGAAATTGTCATCTTTATAACTTGTATCATTGTGATCTATGTTCCCTTTTATGGAGAATTATATCATGTGATTGAAAAATGAAGAAAAACCCACATGAGAAATTATAATAACAAAAAAAAAATCTCAAAAACTTGTTTTACTTTTGCTCTCATCGTTGACTTCCATGGCAGTGCCATCCACAAAACTACTCTCTTTTTACTTGTTGTTGCCACCATAACTTGTATCATTGTGATATCTCTATTCTTCTAAGAAAATTCCTACAGGGCACCCCTTCACTATCCCATGCCAAAATTATACAAGTCAAGTCCCTAAATTGAATTTTACACCCTCAAAAGGCAAGATTTGTACCAATATTTCATAATTACAAAGAAAACTATTGAATTAAGGTGGGTAATTTGAGATGATAATAATAAGATTAATAAATTGACTCACAAACACCATTATAAGGGGAAAGAATAAAAAGCCATGTAAACAAAGTAGTACAAAAATAATGATATAAATCAATTTAATAGCTCAAAGTAGTTTTCATCATCAATTAAAATATCTGTTATATCTTCAACTTGGAAAGTTTCATAAGAAAATCATTTGAAAACGGTTTCAAGGGATATTATTTTTTAATTACTATGTCTGGACATTGTTGTCAAACATGTCCAGACATAGTAATCATAAGCCTAGTACCAATATTTTACCTAGTAACAACAAAATAACATATCAATACATGAGCTTGAAAGTTTTATTTTAGAGGAAGATTGAAACATCTAAAAATTGGAACAAATATCTGCAGGAGAAAATCTAATGTTGGAAAACATTGTTTCCATGAAAGATTTTTGACTGTAAGTGCTTTAGAGTAAATTTTAAATCTAAATACCATATCTTGAAAATGCAGTATTAAGTAAGTGTAATAGGAAGGTTCATCTGTCTAGGGGCATCTTGAACAAGAATATCTAAATTAAAAGGTCCAAAGCGGTTCCATGCTTAGAACCTCCCAAGCCTTGCCCTGGAACAGTGGATGGGATTAGGGATGAAACACTATGAGCCCTAGCCCCAGCTTGGTGTGGGGCCAATCATAATGGACTATACTTCGGCTACTTTGGACCCATTTTTCAAATTATTTATAATTCCAAAATTTATATATACATATATATATATATATATATATAGATGAACATCCGGGGAGGGTGAATTTTTTATTAGACCCGAATTTTAAATATTAGGCCCCATGACCTATTGTTCCATGCAAGAAATCCCTACTAGGACCAATGAGGCAGGAGAGGCTAGTCTGCACCGATAACTAGTTTTGTGGGGGCCAACTGTTGGAGGCTCTCTTGGTGACCATCGTGAATAGGAAGCTACGAGAGCAGCATTAAGTTCAGGCGATCGATAGAATGCCCATACGGCCACAGCCGGGGAATCTGGACGATCCGCGAACCCTTCGCCATCTTACGTGGCACGTCTCCGACCATATAAGGACGCCATCCCATGCAACGTGGCAAACTGAAGAGGACCTCGTCCAGCTCTCTCTCTCTCTCTCCCTCAATGGCAAGTATCGGAGGAGCAAGAGGAGCAGGTTTCGGGGAGTAAATGGGAGAGAGGAGGAGCCTTTGCGTAGGGGAAGCTGTGGACGGCGAGGAGGCACCGGGGGTCTCATGGAAGACGCCGTTGGTTTTCCAGTCGAAGCTGCTCTGCCTATCCCTGCTGTACCTTGCCACCTCCCTCCTCATCTCCCTCGATGTCACCATCTCCCACACCGGCTGCCTCTTCCGCTTCCCCTATCCCCTCTACACCGACCTCCATAGCCGCCTGAGCGAACCCCTCTTCTCCTATCCCACCGCCTATGGCGAGCACAAGCACGCCCTCCCATCGTCTTCCTCGTCCCCCTCCTGCGACTCCCCCGTCCTCTTCCCAGGTCCCGAAGAAATCTCTCTTTGGCATACCGCGTTTCTGTGTTGGTTTTTTGGGTTCTCTGGATCGGAAATCGTCCTAAAGGCGTGGAATTCCGCTGCAGATTATCTGGCGGCCTTTGCGGAGATCCAGAGCCTGTCGAGGAACTCGTCGTACCCTTCGCCGGCGGTGCGCGTGAGGTATATGAGCGGGACGAGAACGAGTTTCGCCGGGAATTTCACTACTCAGGAGAGGAAATCGTACTTCACCCTAGGGAACAGCGGCGGCGGCGATGATGATGGCACGGCGCCGCCGGAGGTCCCCTGCGGGTTCTTTCGGGAATTCCCCGTTCGTCTGTCAGGTCGGTGCAGCATCCAGCTTCTTCTTCTTATTCTTGTTTTCCTCGTCGTTGTCTTCTTCTTTATCATCGTTATTATCACCTTCTTGTTCTTGTTCTTCGTATTATTATTCTTGTCGTCATTATAATCAACATCATCTTCTTCTTCTTTTTCTTCTTTCTTCATCATCATGGCCATCATCATCTTCGTCTTCCTCTTCTTCTTTCTTCATCATCATGACCATCATCATCTTCGTCTTCCTCTTCTTCTTTCTTCGTCTTCATCATCCTCATCATCTTCTTCTTCTTCTTCTTCTCCTTCTTTCTTCATCATCATCACCATCATCATCTTCGTCTTCTTCTTCTTCTTTCTTCGTCATCATCTTCTGCACCTTCACGAGGAGTGGGCGGTGGATTCCAGACAAAGCGGCGATGGAGAGTTGCAAGGGGGTGGCGGTGGCCTCGGCCATCTTCAGCGACCACGACAAGCTGCGGCAGCCGATGGGTCTGGGGGTCAAGACCCTGGAAACCGTCTGCTTCTTCGTCTTCGTCGACGACGCCACCCTCCGCGCCCTCACCGCCCACCATCTCCTCCGCCCTCTGGAACCAGCTGAGGAGGAACATGAAGCCACAGACGGAGAGCCCAACAAGATCGGCGTGTGGCGCGTCGTCAGGCTACCCACAGCGGCGCTGCCATACGCCAACCCTGCCATGAACGGCGTCGTACCCAAGCACCTCCTCCATCGTCTCTTTCCCAGCGCCAAGTTCAGCCTCTGGGTGGACGCCAAGATGCAGCTAACAGCGGACCCCCTCCTCCTGATTCACTCCCTCCTCGTCGCCGCCGGCGCTGACATGGCCGTCTCCCGCCACCCCCTCAGCGTCCACACCATGGAGGAGGCGGTGGCCACAGCGAGGTGGCGGAAATGGCCGGACGTTGATGGGCTACGCGCGCAGATGGAGGCCTACTGCGAGAACGGGCTTCAGCCATGGTCGCCGGCCAAGCTCCCCTACACCACAGGTGAACGCCCTAGAGTAACTACTGTACCCCCACTTGGGTGTAAAGAAGGAAGTCATGGATTGACAGGATGGAGCTAACCTTCAGATGTCCCCGACACGGCGATCATTCTCCGGCGGCACGGTCGGCGGAGCGACCTTTTCTCCTGCCTGCTGTTCAACGAGCTGGAGGCGTTTAATCCACGGGACCAGCTGGCCTTTGCCTATGTCAGGGACCTCATGCGGCCGCAGGTACGCATCCACATGTTCCCCGCGGCGGTGCTGGAGCAGATCGCTGTCGAGTACCGGCATAACCTCAAGCCCGCTGGCGGTGGCGCCATCGCCGCCGTTGAGCATGGTGGGTTGAAACCGAGGAGGGCCTCTTCCCGGGGCCTCCGTGGGAGCAGCTGCAAGGGCTACCTTCTGAAGATGTGGGGGGAGGAAGCAAACGACGGCGAGTGAGCAAGCGCCGACGGCAGCGACTGCGCCGCTAACAACCGGTGTAATGCACTCGTCTCGTGGAAGCCTAGGAAATGTGTGCCGCCGTCTGCAACTCATCCGACGAGCTCAATCTCCAGCACAGACGGAGGTCTACCCACATCTTTGATCTCCTTCTCCTGCTTCCTCTTCTTCTTGATTTCTCGTTTAAATTCTTGCCAAGTTTTTGTAACATAGGGATCTCTCCGAATCTTTCACGTTCCTTGCCCAATTTTTTTGATTCGTGGACGTAAAGGCTGATCGAACTAATGACGCCACAAGATCTTGATGGGATTATCGTTGATATCGTTCGGATAGTATCATCAACGCTTTGCCTTGATAAAGATGGGAGATATGGTGAGGAACCAGGGTGGTATCAATGATCGGCTAATTTCTCCTTTCTTAAGTGCAATTCAAAATATATCGGTGACCGATGGGGCGAACTTACACAAATTCGAGCCTTTTTGATGACGCCTGACGGAGCCGCTTCGCTCACGTGGATAAAAAACTCGAGCCCGTTTCTTTGCCACATGGATTTATGCTAACGATTTCCTATTTGCCCTTTTCTTGCTGTAGTTGAAGATGTACTCGAATACGGGAGAGCCCATGGACCAAAGAACCCAGGTGGCCCAGCCCGAGCTGCAATTCTCTAAATTTGGAACCAAAAATGACGCCTGAAGGAATGACTATGATAATGATAAAGTTAATAAGCTCAAAGCTCTATTTCTTGGTCCTTGTTGAATTAAAAGATACACGTGAATTAAAATTTATAATAATGATTGTCTAATTAGTCCATTTACCAAGGGGACTGAGAGCTTGGTTCATATCTTAAGAGGGGTTTAAATTGCCCAAAGAAAGCCTATGCCAATAAGGATTAGCACTTTTTCAATGGAACATAAATCGATATTGAAGGAAGAACATGCTTAAGATATGGACCAAGATCTTGACATCTTCTTTCTTGAGACTAGGTAGATTGGAACATGTACATGCGGCAGAGTTTATGGTGATTATTCATGAATTTCTTAGGGTTCAGCTAAGTTATATTAGTTCTAAGCGTTCAGCTTAAATCAATCTTCAGAAAGCTTGAAATCCTATACTGATATTTGTTGGATACAGAACAATTCTTGAGAAAGAATTTTACCAATGATTAATTAATTCATTTCATCTTTAGCGCAACTGGATGTCTATCAATTATTAAATTTGTGATGTGCGAGGCAAGAAAGCCAATTCTAAATGAAGGATTTAAGCCCTAGTAGATGGCTTTATTAGGGGATTTTGCCGAAAGCTAGAACCTGCTGTTAGAATGGAAGTTTTCTTGCATGGAAAAATTTATATAAAACCTTGTGGGAGAGAGATGATGAGTAAGAAGTTTGGATTTCTAAAATTTTCCCATTTGAATCAGTATAAATAAAATTTCAAAATAAATCAAATGACAAGACTCCCAAGAAAAATATTGCTCATTTAAAATTACATTGTAAAATTTTAATCTCAAATCTTATGATGTTTAATCCTGCTTTTACTAAATTTCCAAATTGAGAATAAGACTTCATCCACTCTCGATGAATATCCATCTTTTCTCTATATTCCCTGCTTCTACTTTCACCTAATGACTTGACCCCTGATGAAACAAAGTTTATTTTTTATTGGCAGCCCAAAACAAGGGAGTGGGCACTATATTGAAAATTTTATTTCCTTGAGCCTATTAAATCTATTTAGTTACAAATGAGTTGAGTCATCAGAACTTCATCTAAAAAATGAGAGCTGCCCATTTAACATCACGAGCCGATCTTTGTGTTGTGTTTTGAAAATATACTAAAACTATGTAATGATTAATTTGATGAGCCAAGGTATTATGACACAAGGTAGGCTACATGATCTCTAGACCAGGGGGAAGGGGGTGGGGTGAATAGACCTAGTTAATTAATGCCTATATTAAACTCTCTAATATAGTCTAAAGTATGGCTGGTATGGTAAAATTCTGTACAAAAGTGCAAAAAAATTCAATATAGTCAAAGAAAAAACAATGGTAGAACATTAAAAATATTAATAGACTAGTCATATAATCAAGTATCAAAGATTAAATATTCATATTTTTTAATCTATAATATTAGAAGCATGAGCCAATAAAGTAATTATATAGTTTAACATATACAAGCATGCACAACCTTTAAGTTAATCTCATCAAGTTGAACAAGAAGCAAAAATAGACCACATGAAGTATTAAGTTACTCTATTCAATTAGGAAAGATTAAATATTATGACTTATTATAATCTAGAAAATTAGAAACATGCATAAAATAAAGCAATTAGATAGTTTGGCGTATATGACTAAGCACTCAAGAGCTTTATACTCTTTTGGATTTCCACCAACCCCTATACAATGTATGGATTAAATATAGATCTAGGAGCAAATAGCTGCTCATACTATCATGCTACTTTAGCACAAGTAAGATTCGCTCTTGGATAATTAACAAGCTATGAATCTTATTGCCAACCTTTTTGACTTCAACCTATTATATAACGTACGAAAGGAATTTCTTTTATGCATCAAGTTTATGACTCCAGCACACCATAAAGCTTAAAGCACTATCAAATCTAAGTGTTGACGTACTGTCAAATCCAATGCAAACTCTACTTAATGAAATGGTATAGAAATTCAATTTAATGTTCAGAGACTTTACAGTCTCTAATGAGTTAACTTGGGATATAAAAAATAAATTTCTTCATACTCTAAGTAGAAAATAATTTTCCTTGTTTGCTATGGAAGGTCTGGAACTTTTTTCATACAACTTCATCACATATAGTTGCTAATCTTCTACATTTCTTCAGCAATCAAATCTAATGTAAGTTTATGCATAGATGAATGATCATTGTGGCTCTCTCCTTCGTGATTCTTAAAATATAAAACTAATTCTCATGCTTATTTCTTTTCCTCTATTACATTAACTTTTTAATGTTGAAAAAATTAAAATATTTAAAATAATCATAAATATGTTATTTATGGTCTAATGCTTATACGAAGAACTAAATTCTTAGATCCCGCCACTTTATTATTTACTTATGTTATTCAAGCACAAAAAATAAAAAAGAATCATCAAGAATGAGAGGCAAAAGAAGATAGTTGACACAACTATCACTTAGTCATATGAAGAGAGATTATTTTTGTAAGAGAATTAGTGTGATGATGTATGGGCCATCCTACAATCAGTAAATCTAACCTGAAGAGAAATGAACAAAGATTCTCTCAAAGAGATCTGACATAGTAAACATCTTATAATCATAGGTTCTATGATGCTAAAGCTTCTTCAAGCCACCAAAATCTAACCAAATGAAGGGCACGCATATGTGAACTTAGAGAATCATCATTGAAGTTGATCATTTCTCATTTTCACTACGTGACATTGTAGCAGAGTATTTGGTAACAAGGGAGAAAAGGTGAACTAATGCCTTAGTATCTAGTGTGTGGGGGGGGGGTAGATCTTGGAAATTTATCATTGCACAGGAGGGGTTTTCTAATCCTACGAATTTCAGCTGTTGATCTCTAAAAGGGAATAGTGAAATCCAAGGGTAGAAACCCTTGGTAAGTGGACATCACTCAGGGAAGGCTAAACCTCTAGAAAATACCATGTAGCATAGTATTTTTGAATGGTTCAGCTCACCTAAAGTGTGTTGAGCCATGTGTTGTCCCACATAACATAGATCAAGGAAAATGCCTATAAACGTGTGAAAACCATCAAGATTTTAAATAGTGAATTCACTCCCCTGCTTTGCAACCCATCTAACCTACCTCAAGACCATCATATTCATTAGGTTGTAATATGCTCCTACAACAATGGCTCACAAAATGACCATTGCTTGTCTTGTTAAAAACCTATCAAACAACAACAAAAAATAAGCATTAGTGGTTGTCAAATGTATATCAATTCAAATTCTTTGACACTTGACATTGTGTCTTGTCTCATGTTAGTCTCAAAACTATTTTTGAATTATTATGGATGTATCTAGACAAAAAAAAGGCTGTTAATTTGGTTGAATGGTCTAATATTAATTAGTACTAGATAATTATAAATTATTAGTTGTAATTATAAATTAATATCTTATATATAAATATTAATTAATAGGTAAAAAATGTAATTATGTGTTATTGACTCATTATAATATTTATAATATTTTATTATTTAAGTTCTAATATATATTATTTTAGTTATTTTATTGATATTATGAGAGTAACTCCACTTAACTTCAGAAAAGTTAAGTGGTGATTCTCTTACATTTTCTTGATAATTATTTGATTGTAAGTACTTAGGTGAGCTCTTGTTATGAGTTGGAAGTAATAAAAGAAGCTTAAGTTTTCAACCCAAGGAAAAGTTCAAGCTTCATGGAGAGACTCAATGACATGAGTCGTTGTATAGTAAATCGTGTAAATTTTAAATTTATAAAATTAGATAAAACTAATTTTCAGATTTTTAGAAGTATTTCTAAATAAATATATCAATTATAATTCAATAAAAAATTTACAAATAGTAGAAATTTTTTTGATTGATCATATAGATGTAATATAATATTAGATAACTTTTTAGAATTTTCTCAAATAATATAAGTTTTTATGAATTTTACATTAAGAAATAAAAATGAAATATATTTAAAATTCACATAAAAGAAAAATAAGAGTACAAACATCAGATGATGTCAACACTTGACGAATGTAAATCAAATAGAAATAGAGTTTCACTTGGTGATTCTTATGTAAATAATTACAAATGATTTAATTGATCAAATTAAGATCTCTAAAAGTTAAAAGAATTGTCATTGAATTAAGAATAATTTTGTAGATTTAAATCACATAAATTATCATTAAATGAAGTGAAAATTAAATTAAAAGTAGGAAAGCAGAGTTCCAAGACTATGGTGACAATGCATCGACGATGTACTAAAATCTTAAGTAGTCAAGAGGATCGTTGTGTAATGTCTATGACCTCAAAGAC